AGGCTTTGGGGAGACACCCAGACACAAACCATAACAGCCCTTTTATCAAAGATAAGGTGGCTGAGTGTGTTTGTAGTTGTGCCTGCATCTTCTAATCTGTTCCACTGACCCTTGAAGCTGTGTTTTATTGCCAGTACCATGTTGTTTTTATCACAATAACTTTGTAATATAATTTCAAGTCAGGAATTTTAATGAATGCTGCCTTGCCTTTGTTGCCCAGAATGGTTTTTGCTATTACAGGTCTCTTCTTATTCTAAATGAATTTTAGAAGTGTTTTCTTTAGTTCTATAAGATATGTTAATGGTAATTTGATTGGGATTGCATTAAATCTGTATAACAATTTTGGGAGTATGGCCATTTTCCCTATGTTGGTTCTTCCTATCCATGAGCAAGGGGCTATCTTTCCATTTTCTGAAATCCTGTTCAATCTTCTCTTTTGAATTACTGTAACTGCCAATATATAGATTCTTCACTTTGTTAAACTGATTCCTAAGTATTTCATTTTTTTAATGCTATTGTGAAGGGTGTAGTTTCCCTAACTTCTCTGTCAATGAGTTTGTAGTTTGTGTACAGGAATGCTATTGATTTTTGAACATTGACTTTGTACTCATCTACACTACTGAATTTGGTTATTAAATCTAGAGGTCTTTTGTTGCAGTTTTTTGGGTCTTTTGTGTAGAGTATTGTGTCATCCACAAATAAGGATAATTTAACTCCTTTTCCTATCCTTATTCCTTTTACTTTTTTCTCTTGTCTAATTGCTCTGGCTAATGTTTTTAGAACTCTTGAATAGGCATGGTGATCATGGACATCCTTATCTTACTCCTGATTTTAGAGTAAAAGCTTTCAGATTTTGACCATTTAGTATGATATTGGCTGCTGGTTTGTCATAGATGGCTTTTTAATCAGATTGAGATAAAGACCATCTATTCCAACTTTCTGTAGGGTTTTTATCATGAAGGGGTGCTAGATTTTGTCAAACGCTTTTTCTGCATTGATTGAGATGAGCGTGTGATGTTTGTCTTTAACTCTATTAATGTGCTGTACTGAATTTTTTGATTTGTATATATTGAACCATCCCTGGGATGACTCATACTTGGTCATTGTGTATAATCTTCTTGATGATTTGCTGCATTTTTGCCAGTATCTCTCCAAGAATTTCTTCATCTATGTTCATTAAGAAGATTGGCCTATACTTCTTTTTCTTGTATCCTTCTCCAGTGTTGGTATCAGTAATACTTCTTTCTAGGAGTGATTTTGGATGTATTGCTTCCCTTTCAATTTCATTAAAGAGTTTTTTTTTTAACATTAATGGCATTGGTTCATCTCTAAGTTTCTTATAGAATTCAGCAGTGAATACCTTAGTACCTGGGCTTTTCTTTGTTAGTAAGTTTTTAATTACATTTTCAATTTCATTGGCTGATATCAGGTTATTTAGAATTTTTATATCTTCTTCATTCAGTTTTGGAAATTTATATCTGCCTAAGAAGCTGTCCTGTTTTTCCTGTGTTTTCTATCTCATTAGAGTACAGGTTCTGAAGTAGGTATTGAGAATCATCTGGATTTCTGCAGGATTGGTTGTAATTTCCCCCTTTCCATTCCTAATTGCTTGAATTTGAGTCTTTTCTTTCCTCTTTTTGATGAGGTTGGCTAGGGACTTATCAATTTTATTTAATCTTTCAAAGAACCAACTTTTTATTCATTGATTCCTTGCATTGTTTTCTTAATCTCAATTGCATTAATTTTTGCTCTTATCTTTATAATTTCCTCCCTTGTACAAGCTTTGGATTTGGTTTGTTCTTTTTCTAGAACTTTGAGTTTCAGCATTAGGTTGTTTGAGTTTGTTCTTTTTTCCTGATGTGAGAATTCATCACTATAAATTTCCCTCATAGGATTGCTTTCAGTGCACACAATCAGTTACAGTATGTTGTACTGATATTATCATTTAATTGTAGACACTGTTTAATTTCTTCTTTAATTTCCTCTGTGACCCATTGTTTGTTTTATCTCTTTTTTTTCCCCAGTACTGGGAATCAGACTCACAACCTTGTGCTTGCCAGGCAGGTGCTGTGCCACTGAGTTAAATCCCCAGTGACCCATTGTTTGTTCAGAAGGCTGTTGTTTAGTTTCTATGTGTTTATATAGCTTTAGTGGTTTCCTTTGCCATTGATTTCCAGTTTCATTGTACTATGGTCAGATAATATTGATGGGATGATTTCAATTCCTCTGCATCTACTTAAGCATGTTTTATGGGCTAATATGTGGTCTATTTTGGAGAACATTCCATGTGTATCTGTGAAGAATCTGTATTCTGATATTGTCAGGTGGACCGCTTTGTAGACATCTACCAAGTCCATTTGTTCACAGGTTTGGTTTAACTCTGATGTATCTTTCTTGACTTCTCATTTGGTTGATCTATTTGTGAGAGTGGGGTATTAAGGTCCGCACAATTGTGTCAGTTCTTATTTGATTCTTCATGTCTGTTAATATTTGTTTTATGTATTTTTGTGCACCAGTATTTGGTGCATATATATTTATGACTGTTAACTCTTCTCCTTGGAATTTTCCCTTAATAAGTATGTAGTGACCTTTCTCTCTTTTGATCAGTCTTGGCTTGAAGTTCACATTGCCTGCAAATAGAATAGGTACCCTTGCTTTCTTCTGGATTTCTGTGGCATGGAGCTTTGTTTTCCATCCTTAGACTTTCAGTCTATGAATTTCTTTTTTAATTCAATGTGTTTTTTGAATGGAGCATATATTTGGATATTGCTTCTTGATCCATTCTGCTAGTCTGTTTCTTTTGATTGGTGAGTTGAGACCATTAACGTTGATGGTTATAACTGCTATCTATTAACTTATCCTTGTCATGTTATTTTCCTGTTATTGGTTCCCTGTCTTTCTCCTCTGTTTAATTGCTTTCCCTGCCTTGTCATTTCTTTCTGTTGGTGTTTCTGTGGTTGTGGTCTTCTTTCTATTGGTATTCCTATGGTTGTGGTCTTGCCAATATGTTCTTGAGAGCATTCTGTAGGGCTGGTTTGGTGGTTATAAAGCTTCCTACCCAGGAGTAGATATTTTTGAGACGAGATTCACATAACATAGATAAACCATTTTAAAGTGAACAATTCTGTGGTGTTTAATACATCCACAATATTTGTAACCATCACCTCTATCCAGTTCCAAAGAATTTTAATCACTCTAAAGGAAAATCCTGTACCTATTAAGCAAGCAATATCCACTTTCTTCTCTCCAAGCACATCACAATTACCAATTTAGAGTCTTCAATAATTTTGGATCTATCCTGGGAGTGAAATTCCTGTCTTATAATGCTAATTCTATGTTTAACTTTTTTATCCAAGGGGTAGGGCAGAATGAGCAAAAGAGGCCATGAAATTCATGTGAGTCAGACAGCCAAGCTAGTATGGGTGTACCCACTCAGTTGGCCCTTAATCTTGTCTTTGACCTTTTCTATCAGCACAGAAAAGTGAGTTTTGTGGTTCCTTTATACCTCTGGCTCTCTCCTAGGGCTGTGTCTGACAGTCCCTGAAAAAACTGTAAGATGGTGCACTGTGTCAGATCATGAGGCCACCAAGTGCTCCAGTTTCAGTGACAATGTGAAGAAAGTCTTTTCTGCGAATGGTCCCCTTGTCACTTGCATGAAGACAACCTCTTACCTTGAGTGCATCGCAGCCATTGTGGTAAGTCACTGCTGCCCAAAAGGAAGTGAAAGGAAGTCTATATTCTCTTTCTCTGCACTTCCTACTGTACAGAAAAATACACCTGCTCAACATTCATTAATAGTAAAAATCATAATCTGAGTCATAGCCACACAGTTCATAGAGAAGGATTCAATCTTATTAAGATATCTATAGTAAAGTAAAACTAGCACTGCATTAAGAAGACTCTATAAAGACTCAGAAATAGGATATTAGTTGTAACTCAGTGGTAGAATTCTTGTGTAGCAGGCAATAAGCAGTAGTTGTTTTGAAATTACATGAAAATGCACACTTTCAAAAGGGCCTTATCTTCATACTCTGCAGAGGGGCACATGGCCTGTGCAGTTGCATTCCCTAGCTTGCCTGGTTATCCCAGTGCTGCAAAAAAAGAAGAAGGAGGAGAAGGAGGAGGAGGAGGAGGAGGAAGAAGGGGAGGAAGAGGAGGAGGAGGAGGAAGAAGAAGAGAGGAAGAGAAAGGAGAAGGGGAAGGAGAAGGGGAAGGAAAAGGAGGAGGAAGAGGAAGAGGAAGAGGAAGAGGAAGAAGAGGAGGAGACTCGGAAATAAACAAGAAGCTCTGGGGTCTTGTTATTAATAGTTAAATTGCTTTTGGAATTTCCCAGTGATGCAATAAGATATAAAATACATGTAAGATAGAAACCATCAGACATATCAATATTTTCAGATGATTGTTTACCTAGAAAGCATAGTGGAATTGAGAGAAATGCTGCTGTAATCATTTATTAATGAATAAATTAGCTCGGTAAAAAATGAGTATATTACAGGTAATATCATTAGCCCAAAATTGTGATCTCATTTGTGTTTAAAATAATAAACAGAAAAATATTTCTGAAGAAATAACAAATGAGAGCTTTATAAAACTGTTAATATGAAGGTCTGTGGTAAGTAAGCAACATTTATTAATAAATGAGCCTTGTACCATATCCCCAGGTTGGAAGACTGTATACATACTTTTGTATCATCCTAAAGTTGTTCAATAAATTTAGCATAATTTTCATCAAAATAAACTCTTTCAAAAAGCATCAATAATATAATTATAAAATTCTTGTGAAGAGCACATGGATAAGATTATAAAATGGCATGAGAAAGAACACTAATCGAATAGCCAAGGTTTTCCTAAAATGATACCATATTTAAATAGAAGTGTTAGTAAAGAACAGGTTACTGACATGGATATTGAACACCTGGAAGAGAACAAAATCAACACATTCTCAGCTTTCTGTGTGTCTATACATCTAATTATCCATATGATATATAGATGCAGAGTATAGTAAATGTTAAAAATTAGGGTATTAGAGTCCTAGACTTACTAAGTTTAGACTAGATGCATATAAATTTAGCTAGATATTTATGATAAAGCAAGCTTTCAAAAAATGATTGAGAAAGGTTTCTTTAATTGGACAACTCAGTAGGCATTTGAGGGGGGGAATCAAATGAGATTCTTAATCCATTCACCAAAAAAACCCCACAAACTCTCATAGCTTGATTCAATTTGACAAAAAGTGTTATGGTTTATATCTAGATATCTCCCAGAGCTTCATTCATTCACAGGTGAGGCTTTGGGGAGGTGACTGGATCTTGGGGTGTGATATTGATCAGTGGATTAGTCTACTGATGGGTTTATGGCTATATGTGATACCAGGAGGTAAAACCTGGTCAGAGAAGGTGGGTCACTGGGGGTGTGAACTAGAAGGGTCTATCTCCCTCTCTCCTCTGTTGCTCGATCTCTGCTTCCTGCCTGCCATGCCATGAGCATAGTCTTCTTCTCTGATGCCTCCTTGCCTTGGAGGCAGCTGACTATGGACTGAAACTTCTACAAACTCTAAATCCAAATCAACTTTCTCCTTAGAGTTATGGGGGTCATGTATTGTGTCTCAATGATAAAAAAGTAATTAAGACAAAGAAACATAATTAGATAAATCAGAAAAGTAGGCAAATTTGGAAATGTAAAAATTTTAAAACTATGATAAGTATTTTTAAAAGTGCTAAATATATAAAAATAAATCACATCAGCTGTAACAAAATCATTTATTGCACTGTAAAAACTATATAAATATATAATTTAAATTTATAAGAAATGTTTAAAAATAACAAGCTATAAACAAACCACTCACAAAAAAAATTACAGCTAATAAACAATGTGGACAATAAAGGAAAAATGTTCATTCTTTTTAATAACCAAATAAATTAAAATAAATGCCTTCTTACAGTAAGTTCATATTGGTAATATGATGACATTTCTTTCTTTTTTAAAGTTAATTTCATTGGTACATTATAGATATACATAGTGATCACATTCATCGTAGGGATTTTGTACCTATACATAATATATCTCGATTCTTCTTTTTTCCCCAGTCCCTTCTCCTCCCTTCAACCCCTCTTACTCTCCTTATCTGTAAAGGCTTTGTTTCCATTTTTTTCCTTCTATTCTTTTCTTCTTTTTCCCTTTCCCCTTTCCATGTACCCCTTCCCACTTGAACAATTTCTTCCTATTTCACAATATCTATTATACATTTTGGTCCTTGTTTATGCTTTTGGTTTCTTACACCAGAGAAACAATGCAATATTTAAGCATGTATGTCCAGTTTATTTCACTTAGGAGTATGGTCCTAAGTGCACCCATTTGCCTAGAAATGTCTGAAGCTTATCCTTTATGGCAGAGTAGTGCTCCCTTGTTGATAACACTTTTCACTGGTAGGTTTGCAGTGAAACTGATATGCATGCTGATTAGCATTATAAATCATAAACTTGGATTAGCATTATAATTTTTTATTTCTGAAAAACAATTTGGAAATACTCAATAAGCATCACAAATGTGTCCATAAGTGTTTATTCTTCAATTCACATATATATGTGTATATTTATGTGTGTGTGTATAGAGAAAAGTGGAGACAGATGTGAACTTGTTACAGAAACTTGGCCTTATGTAATCATGGGGGCTGGTCAAGCAGTCTCTGTAAAGTTGCTGTCTTTTCACCTCTGATTTTGGAACATGAAGAGGAACCATTCAGGAAAGGAAGATGTATGTAAAGTGAGGAGAAGTAAGAACAACTTGGAACTCATGAGGATAAGCTGAAAAGCATCAGTTCTCACTGCTTCCTTTCTGGGTGGGGTTCACAAGGCTTAATGCCCTTCTTGTTCTTTTATCTTTTATTCTAAGTCCATCCTTTATTAATTCAAGTTGGTTTCTGATACATTCAATAGTGTCCTAATTTTATGTGCATACAACTATATGTAAATATTTATATAAAATGGGATGGGAAATATATAATTGTAATACAGATTTGTATAACATGGTACATGCATTTTGTAAAATATGTATAAGAAAACTCATATATCATATATACTGTAAAATATAAGAAAATGGGATACGAAAAAAAGGGGAAAATGTGTACAGTACATTTGTCCCTCTGTATTCTTGGCCTCTGCATATGTACATTCAAGCATCAGCAGATGTAAAACATTGCACCTTTTCTGAACACATAGACTTCATTCTTGCCACCATATATTCCCTAAACACTACAGTATACCTATTTATACGGCATTTATACTGTATTAGTTAGTTAAGTAATTTAGAGATGATTTAAAGTGTATGAAGCCAGGCATGGTGGTGCACACCTGTAATCCCAGCACTTGGGAGGCTGAGGCAGGAAGATTGTTGCGGGTTCGAGACAAGCATGGGCTACAAAGTGAGCTCAAGGCCAGCCTGAACTGCATAGTGAGACCCTGTCTCAGAAAAAGAAAAAGTAAAGTATATGGGAGGAAGGGTACAGGATGTACACAAATTCTACATCCTTTTATATTAGGGACTTGAGAATCTGCGTATTTTGATTATTGTGGGAGTTCTGGGACTAATTTCCCTAGATACTGAGGGTGGCTGCACTAAATTCAGTAAAACTCAAGTTAATAAATAAATAAATAAAAAGAATGATTTCTGGGCTAGGGATGTAGCTCCACGGTGGAGCACCTGCTTAGCAAGTGTGAAGCCCTGAGTTCAATTCCTGAAAAACACCCAAAAAAGCTCCTTTAAAAAAGAATAATTTCCATGCTGGGTATGGAAATGACTCAGCCTCATTTCTGAGAGAGGGCTGTGAAGCTACCGCTTCCCGTAGGAAGAGAGGAACGCTGGGCTGACAGATTCCTGAAAAGAGACTCCAGATCTGAGAGTGCATCACATTAGTTATCGGAGGCAAAAATATTCTCTGGTGCACTCACTTACCCAACAGTTACCAAACACCTATGTATGCTAGGTGCTCTTCTTGGTACTAGGATTCAGCAGGGAATTAAAGATGCAAAAATGTCCTCACTTGCATGGAGCTCATATTACACAGGGGAGGAAAACACTGAACCAAGCATGTCAGATGGTTGATAAGGTCTAGGAAGAAAAAGTGGAATCCAGAACACATGAGATGATAGCATTATGAGTGAGGTCAGTAACAGCCTCACAGAGAAGCTGACTTTTGAGTGTAGACCAAGGGAGGTGATGCAGGCCCAAGCCATGAAGCATTTATGGAGCAAGCATACCTGGGGGAGGATGAGGGGAGTCTTCCTCAGAGGCGATGCGGGCCACTCATGGGCTAATCTCTTCTCTTTTAGGCAAACAAAGCAGATGCCGTGACCATTGATGGAGGTTTGGTGTTTGAAGCGAGCTTGGCCCCCTACAACCTGAAGCCCATTGCGGCAGAATTCTATGGGTCAAAAGATGGTGTGTTCTCCCTGGGCACCCAGGTCACTGGTGTGACACTGCAGCCACTGGGGAAGGCAGGGACTCTGTCAGCATAGCACTGGCAGGCAAACGAAGTTGCTGGAGCTCTTCGGATGGATGGAGGCTGTCACTGCTACTCACCCACAAGGGTTAGGATATTGGCACTTCCCAGGCAACTGCAAACTTTGTGCATTCTGATGAGTGCCTTTGGTGCTGTGGGGTACACACAGCCTGGGAAGGGGGTGCTGTCCAGAGTCCATCACTGAGTGGGGAGCTGCACGCCTAGGAGTCCCAGCTCTGGAAGGAGAACATGAGGATCTGGCTGCCTCCTCCCTGTGCCGTCTCCTCCCTGTGCCGCAGTGTACAGGCCTGTGTGTGTTTGGAGGAGAGATTCTTGGGGAGTCTATGGAGGGAGCTTTGCCTCTTTCCCATACTTTTGCATCAGCGCTCTCAGTGTGTGAGCATAGCCCACCTCTAATGTGCAGGGCCCTGGCATATTCCTGGGTCATCCCTGCATCCGTCCTCTCAGGCTTTCACTTTTGTGACCGAGCTGTAGACACAGAGGCAGAGAAGCAGTAACCTCAGTGCCTGGGAGCTGAAAGTCTTCTCTGAGAACATCTGCAGGCCCTGTCATAGTGTGAGCCTTCAAAATTCCCATCTCCACTGGCAGAAAAATAAGTACCATTGACTCTACTTTTATGGTGCAGTTGTGTTCTAATAAACCCATTGTAGACTGAAAAATTCTAACCCTAAAATGCATTCACCAAACATCATGCTTGCTAACACAGAATTGGTGGTTCCCTTTGTGATCACGTGGTTCCCTGCCATTGTCCAGCATCGTGAAAGATAATTGTACCACATATCAATAGACTGAGAAAAAATCAAATTCAAAGAATGGGTTCTCCGACTGTGTATTGCTTTCACACATTGTAAAATTTAATAATCCAAAGCCTAGCTATTGAAAACCAGGGGCTGTCTACATGTTTATGGCCTTGAAAAAGTTCAGTTTTCTCTTTTCTCTGTACTGACCAGGGAATGGTGCAGATCCTAGGCTCCTCCAAAGTTCTGCATTGCACACCCTGGAAGGTCAGTAGGGAAGATGTGCCATCTTCCTTTGTTCCTTCTTTCTCCCTGCTCCTTTGCAGATCCACAAACTCACTATTACGTTGTGGCTCTGGTGAAGAAGGGAACCAACTTCCAGCTGAACCAGCTCCAAGGCAAAAAGTCCTGCCACACGGGCCTGGGCTGGTCTGCTGGGTGGATCGTCCCCATTGGTCTACTGCTTCCCTCTGGCTCTCTTGAAGCAGGTAAGTCAGCAGGGATTGGATGTCCTCAGACAGCGCTCCTGCACCAGTTGCCCAAGTGGGTCATGTGCGGGTCATACAATCACTGTTACATGTATGCTTTCCATGTTTTCCAAGATGGAGTAAGGGTGTGTGCACCAGCAACTTATGGAAGCTGGGGGCTGAGCTTTCTCTTCCCTCAGGAAAGATGCTTCTGTTTCTCTGAGCTCCTGTTGGTCCTGCCCTCCTGGGAATCCCAGCAGCTTGGCTTGACAAGGGCCATCCTTGAGGCCCACTCAGGAAGGCCACCTTCCTCCCAATTTCCCAGGAAGTTTCTCTAGGGCCTCCAGTCACACTGCCAGCACCTCAGGCCTCTGTGCCAACTTCTTGTTCAGTTATGGTGGCCAAGGTGAGCCCTGAGCACCTTTTTAGCCCTTGAAGATGATGGCCAAATCCTGCTCTCTGCAAAAGTGCATCTTTCTGAGCTCTGCCGTCTTTCCAAAGTAATTTTTTGGCCATGATAAGGACAAGGGGCTGCAGGGATCTGATAAAGTGCTGCACCTGGAGCACATCTCTGGCCACATCTTCCCCTTCGTGGGGTGTTTACTTGCCTTGGTGATAGGCAGTACTGGACATCTGTCTGTGCAGTTGTCCATCATGCCTCCTGCCCCTCACCAGCAACCTGCTCTAACTCTGTCCTAGAAGAGGGACCCCACAAGCCGCTACAGCTTCCAGGAGCAGAAGGGAAGGTGTGGTGGCCTAGGTTCTGCAATAAGGAAGGGCTGTGGAGGCTGGCTGACCCGCAGGTGTTCCTGCCCTGTTCAGAGTTCTGTCTGCCCCCTCAGGGCCTCAAAGCTGGGGAGTTAGCAGAGTGAGTGGAACTGGGCCACAGCTTGATTCAGTATATGTTGGCTACTCTCACACCCGCGGCCGGCAACCTGGAAAGCCCACATAAGACAGTGTGGTGTCCAAACACCCAGGCGCTGTGGGTCATCGCTCACTCCAGCAGGCTGCACCCGGCCGGCCTGTGCACTCCTGCCTCCCAGAACATCCCCAGGAAGTCGGCAGATGCAAGGGCTCTTAGGGCCACTCTCTCGCATGTGCACATAACCCTGAGACCCTAGCAGCTCACACCTTGTGGTCCATACGTCTATGTTGAGCAGGAGCAGCCACGTTCTTCTCTGGCAGCTGTGTGCCCTGTGCATATGAGAAGAGGTTCCCCAGCCTGTGTCAACTGTGTGCAGGAAAAGGGACTGACAAGTGTGCCTGCTCCTCTCATGAACCATACTTTGGCTATTCAGGTGCCTTCAAGTGAGTAAGATCCTCTGGTCATCCTCCCTCTCTGTATTTTGGGGGACAAAAGCACAGAGTGGACAGGGCATGCCCCAGGTACCTTGAGTGTCACTGTGATAGCCAGGCTCCTCTATGCCTCCCCTGATCTACCCTCGCTCAAAACCTCCCTGTATGGGATCTCCTCAGGTCTCCCCAGAGCTTGGTGCCTGCAGTGTTCCCCTCTAGGACCAGGGGACAGACTGGGACCTGCAGACGCAGGCCTGGGCCCTTGGTGGGGCCAAAGGCAAGGGCCTCCCAGTGCTCATCCTGCTGAGTGTCCCCTGTGGCTGCCTTGACCCCCCGCAGGTGCCTCTCTGTACTCTACGCTCTGTAAGCACCAAAACAAAAACCCCTGTTTCTTTTGACTGCTTTCCAAGAGGAAGGTAAGGGTCTTTCCCCACCATCCCTCCACAGAGCTGCTGAGGACGTCATTCTCTGGGGCTCCTGCTGGTTTCAGTCTGGCACAGGCTATAGGGTTCAAAGGCTGCTCAGAGAAGTCTATCCTCTGTGAGGGAGACTGGTACCCAGGGACTTGTGGGCAAAGCCCCATGAGCCTGTGGTCAGGCAAAACTTCAGTGGGTCTGCACCAGAGACAGTGAAGCTTGTGCCTGAGCTGAAGGCCTGACAATATTGTCCTGTTCCTCAGGTGCCTGGAGGACGGCGTGGGGGACGTGAGCTTCGTGCGGCACCTGACCGTGTTTGGTAAGTGCCGGGTGAAGAACCATATGGGCCCAGCTAACCAGAGGGACTGGTTCTTGCCCCAAGGTCTCCTTACATCTAGAGCAATGGTGAGAGGTTTACCCACGGGGGAGTGAGTGTGTGTCTGTTCTTTGTGCTTTAGTGCCCAATTTGTCCCTTTCAGATCATACCCTGCCCAACATCTTCCTGCATCAGGGACCTGTATCTGTTTCTCTCCATTGTCCTCTCAGACCCCTGCAGGGGCCTTTCCATGAACCTAGCAAAAAAGTTTTCCGAACCTTTAAACTACTAATGTTTGTTTTATGTTGAGTTTTGAGATGCTGGGAACGAAACCCAGGACCTCACACATGCTAGGCAAGTGCAATACCCCTGAGCTATGGCCTGGCCCTAAAATCAAGTGTCAATCATCAATTCTCTTAGTCATTCAATGTCAGTTTCGAATTTAATCACATTCAAATTTACATTACAAGTATCTTAAGCAAATGCCTCTTAAGAAATATGTAAATATTTCAGAGCTTGTTAGCACACTTAGAGTTAAATTTGTACAAGGTATTATTTTTAAAAATTTACTCTAAAAATAAAAGAAGGAAAACATTAACAAACACATCCATTTACAAAATAGCATAAGAACAATACAAGCAATACTGAATTACAGACAAAGTGGTAGGAAATTAACAACGGTTGTGTTACATATTGATATCTTCAAAGTGGTTCCTCAAGAAAACAAATAGAGACATGCAAAATTGATCAAATAATTAATCATTAACTGTTCTTTTGAGTAAAGTGATAGAAGTCAATAGTACAACTATGTTAGTTATCCTGGATATACATACACACATAAAATTTCCCCTTCTTTTCTCTTTTCCCTCACCCCAGTTGCTCTTTACTTTTGAGCATTTTCCTTTTGTTTCACAATGTCTGCCATACCTCCTAATTTTTACTCACTCTTTCAGGTTCTTACACTAGTGAGACAATACGTTGCTTACACATGGAGGTCTGGTTTATTTCACTTATGAGTATGGTCTCTAGTTGTGACCATTTACCTGTAAAATCTTCAAGTTTATCTTTCTTTATAGTTGAGTAATATTCTATTATATAGAAGTACCACAATTTTTTTATCCATTCCTCACTGGATGGACAGTTGGGTTGCTTCTACAATTTAGCAATTACAAATTGTGCTGCTATAAACGTGTGTATACATATATCACTGTGATACGATGTTTTCAGATCTTCTGGGAGAATACTTAGAAGGGGAATAGCTGGGTTGAATGGGACCTCTAGACCTAGTTTTCTGAGGAATCTCCAAACTGATTTCCACAGTGGTTTCACCAGTCTGCATTCCCACCAGCAGTGGAGAAGACTTCCTATTTCTCCACAGCCTCGCCAGCATTTGTTATTGGTTGATTTCTTAATGCTAGCCATTCTTACTGGGGTGAGATGAAATCTCAATGTTGTTTTAATTTGCATTTCTCCAATGACTAATGATGTTGAACATTTTTTCATGTATTTACTTGCCATTTGTATTTCTTTATCTGAGAAGTGTGTATTCATCTCAGCTGCCCATTTTTGGACTGGGTCTTTGAATTTGGGGCCCTCATGTTTTTTAATTCTTTATATGTTCTAGATAGAATACTTTTGTCTGAGGGACAGTCAGCTAAAATTTTTTTCCCAATTTGTGGGTTTTCTTTTTACTATACTGGTGCTTTCTTTAGATGTGCAGAAAGTTCTCAGTAGAATGAGATCCCAGTTGTTGATTCTTTGAAGTATTTCATCTGCAGTTTGGTTTCTGTTCATGAACTCTCTGCCTACCCTTATGTCTTCAAGGTTTTTACCTACTTACTCTTCCAATAGATTTAGTGTTTCTGTTTTAATATTGAGATCTGTGACTTGAGTTTAGTGCATGGTGATAGACTTGGGTCTATTTTCAGTCTTCGGCAAGTGGCAAGCCAGTGTTTCCAGCACCACTTATTAAAGAGGCTATCGTTCTCCCAGTGAGTTTGATTGGCCCCTTTATCAAAGATTAAGTGGCTGAGTGTGTTTTTGGTTGTGGCTGTTTCCTCCAGTCTGTTCCATTGACCCTCAGGTCTGTTTTTTAGCCAGTACTAGGTTTATTTTATTATAGTAGCTTTGTATATAATTTCAGGTCAGGGATTGTGATTCCACCTGACCTGTTCTTCTTGCCCAGGATTGCTTTTGCTATTCTGGGTCCCTTCTGATTCCAGATGAATTTAAGGCATGTTTTCTCAAGATCTGTGAGGTATGCTAATGGTAGTT